TATTTGCACAATTTTGCATTTTATTGAATAATATATATAGACAAGCAGAGATATGAATACAAATAAGAAACTTTATATTTAACACCTCACACGGCATATGTATTACTTTTTTATATAAACAGGAACATTTGCGCATGATTTTTCTTATGACCTATTTCACAATTAAGTTTTAAAATCCTTATATTCCTGTATTCAAAGCAAAATTATATGCATAAGTGCAACTACAAATATTGTAAAAAATGATAGTAAAAAATTATTTTCAAATATAAATATTATTAACATGGTTCAAATTTGTACAGCTATTCACAGAATTCTATTCGCAGGAACTTTAGCATTTTTCATTTTTTTATAGTAGACTTTTTACTGGGCTGATGAAATGATAATTACTGATCATTGAAAATAAAAAAGTTCCTTACAAGATTCATTTCATAGATAAGTTTTTTATTCAATTTCTTTATGCTAATCAACCAAATTATTCAAAGATAAGCTAACATTCATTTAATTTGTTTATATTCCTTTTTTTTTTATTGATTTGATCGATATTTTAATCAGTTATTCAAGGATAAGCTAACATTCATTTAATATTTTGTATAACACCAATGAAAAGCCAGATTCCATTCATATAAAATTAATACGATCGAAGTTAAGAATTTTCTTTTCGCTTAATGGGGCAATTCTTTTACATAGGTGGGATGATGATGGCTTTGTTGCACTAAAATTTGCTTCTCAATCTTTGGTAGCGCTGTAAGAAACCATCACATTAATAACAAATTTATTAATTGCACCCATACTTCACAACTTGTAATTTACTAATTGGCATTGATTTACTTTTAATTTATTCATTTCTTATTTAATTTCGTTTTATTTATGTTTATTCGAACTGTCAGTTAATAGCACTTTATCAAAATATTATAATAATTTATAATCGAAGTACTTAAGGTGAACTAATCTATATATAATTTATACTATATAAAACTTTTGAATTTAGTAATTAGAAAAAGAGTGAAATAGTAATTAATATTTTAAATAAGCAAAAAATTCTTCAAAACTTTAACCAATCATATTAATATATAGTTATTTTGATAATTTTGCATTTTTAGTTTTAGTAATATTAAATTTTTGTAATCTTAGTATCCAAAATATAATTTTTATATATTTACAACTTGAATTTAGCTTAAAAATTATAGTATTACTAAATTTTTTGTATTATAACTATTTTACTCTTATAAGGGAGCTGACGCTTATTATATAATTATAACTTCTCTCCAGAGTTAGCCAATTAATAATTAAAAGCTCTAAAGTAACTTTATATTATTAATTATCTTAGAGCTTGCAATTATCAAATGATTAATTATTTTAGAACATGGAATTGTCAACCGGGTACCTGGATGGTAAAAGAATCCCACAACGGGTGGTAAAAGAAATTCTGCAGAGATTTATACACGTAATCTTTAGTAAATTAGATTTTTATTTATGCGATGTTTAAATATAATTTTTGTACTCAACAGCTAATTAAAACGAATAATTGTAGACATTCATTGGGTTGAGTAGCTTATTTAAATACTTAGATTAATTGGCAAATTAATACGACTGATAAAATTAAATAGCAAATATTCATAAATATAAATAATTAGATTAATAAATTCTTTATGTTTATACACTAAATTAATGCGAATAGAATGAATTAAGTAGTGAATATTCAGAAACATGATATCTCAATTAAATACTAAGATTAATACTGTATAAATATATAGTATATTCTTTATACTCAGTGCTACTAAATATAAATATGTAATAAATCTTCATGAACTTGGGTAGCTTAATTAAAGTTGTTATCTTATTGTGATGTGGATTCAAGTCACACTGGAACATGATTCTAAGAATTTGATATGCATCACCTCTAAGCAGTAGCTCAGATTACAACTTTATTGTCCTGGCTTCATTCTGCAAAGCACTTCTAAGTTTACACTGTTCTCATAGATTCTGGAACAACTGATAAAAATTGACCGATGATTATTCGGCCGAATTCGATAAGCTTTTGAATTCGGTATTATTTGCATTGATTTCAGCATTACAGTAATGTTGATAACATCAAATTTACAGCTGTTTTCATAATTCTGGAACGTTTGGCAAAAAATTGTTCGACCGAAAATTTGCCGATTCGATAAGTTTGTGATTTCGGTAATGATCGTTGCCGAATCAGTACTTAACGAATCGGTAAATATTTGGTCGGTCAATTTTTTGCCAGTCGTTCCAGAATTTGTGAAAACAGCTGTAAAAGTTTATCAAATCCGGCCGAATATTCATCGGTCAATTTTTATCAGTTGACAGCTGAAATGCACATTATATTTACATTCTAAAATAAAATTGTAAATATCTAACCTGGGTTACCCGGGTATAACTCTACTCTCTTCTTGTATGTTATAATGCCCGCAGTGATTTGAGAAAAAAAAACCAATGTACGGGCAACAGTCGGAAATTATTCCGGCGGGTGACCCTAGAGTTGACCCACGGGTGACCCGCGGGTGACCCGCGGGTTGACCATCCGGGTGGCCATAACTCAACCTAGGTCACCGCTCACCGCGGGTGACCCGGGTGACACCTACCCGAGTCGGAACACTTTCTTTTTTGGAAGATTTACACGACTAACCAATCAAATTATAGAGTTCACGAAATGAAATAAAAATAAAAAACAGAAAACAAGTAATCCTAATTAAAAAATGTCGGTTGAGCAATTTTACCTATAGTGACTAATTTTAATCCTAATTTGTTTTAGATACACTTCCAAATAAGGAATTTGGTTAAATGTGTCGGTAAATGTGGTCTTATTCGGCTTTTTAAAGACTGATCTATCCCTTTTAAGTTTTACATCATATACAAATATAGAGTTATGATCCTGCAAAGTGAAGTTATAAATACAGAATTTAACAATTTTATTCCGTCACACTTCAGATTAAGTGAAATTAAATGCCGTACAACATATGCGGTATATATGGCACGCACCTAAGTAATACAAACCCTAAAATGAAATAGCCAATCGGAGTGCACAAAATTTGACTGTTTCGGATCAGCCCGACATGAATTCCGAACACGTGTAAAAGAAGAAAAAAGCGAAAATACTCAAAACTAGTGTTTAAATCAACCTTGATGCACTAATTAAAAAAGTCGGGAACAAAATTTTACATATAACAAGCAACAATTATTGTTATAGCCTCTAATGTTAACGACCTAATCCTAAACTTATATCTTTCGCACTTTCCTTTTTCGGGGATCGGGTGCGTTTGGAAATGATATACTTGCTGCATAAATTATCTTATTGATACTTATATAAACCACTTACCATTACTGCATCAAAAAAGTAACCCTAACTGCATCAAAAAGTAACTTTAACGCACACGACTTTAGACGTACCCCTTTTTCGGATTGTATTATTGCGCAAATAAGTAAATTTATTCTTGAAAAGTTTAGTAGTAAACCATGTCAAATATATCAGAAGCTTCAGAAGAATGGCTCGAAAGAGCTATTTCCGATGGACATATAAATTACCATGAATATAAAAAGTTTACAAACCGTACTGTTATTGATAAAGGGGGGTTTGCAGAAGTTTATAGATCCGAATGGAAAGATTGCGAGTTAACTGTTGCACTCAAGTGTATTAAAATCGCTAAAGAAGATTTAGATAGAAAAATTGTTAATGATTTTATTAGTGAGGTATATTTTTTTATATCATAGTTAAAGGTTTTATTTATTATGACTATTAAATTAAATATTAAATTTTACTATTTATGTATAAAAGCTTAAATTCTTACAAAAAGTTGTTAGCCATCCAAATGTTATTGCATTTCATGGAGTCACGAAAGGTATATTTGCAATTTATTATTTACGAGCATAATAAAGATTTCAATTCAGATTATTTATTAATATTAATGACTGAATAAATAGACGATAATGGATATTATAATATGGTTTTACAATATGCTGACGAAGGAAATTTACGACAATATTTGAAAATAAATTTTACAAGATTGCAATGGATTGATAAATTACGTATTGCAAAGGACATGGCACTTGTCCTTTTGTTCTTACATGGGAATAATATCATTCATAGGGACCTTGTAAGGATATTATATATTTTACAGTATATTGTATAATGTTAATAAAATTTTAATTTACGAACCCCCTCATATAATTTAGCATTCAAAAAATATTTTAATTCATCAAGGACAACCAAAAATTGCTGATTTCGGACTATCAAAACAGATAAATGAAATGTCAATGACTTCAAACTCAACTATTCGCGGAATGCCTGCATACATCGAACCTCAGTGTTTTGTTGACGATAAATATAAACGTGATATAAAATCTGACGTTTATAGCTTTGGTATAATTCTCTGGGAAATTTCGAGTGGTAGGCCACCATTTCAAAGCTTTGAAAATATAATGGCTCTTTGTTGTTATATAGGCCAAGGAAATAGAGAGGAACCTATAGAAGGCACACCACCTCAGTATGTTAAGCTTTACAGGGAATGTTGGGATATGAAGCCTGACAATCGTCCAAAAATGATTTCAATACTCGAAACTTTAAAACAATTTATCTCTGGTGAAGATTTAAATAAGCCTATAACTAATGAATTATCAATTAAGAATCAGGGAACTTTAATTACCACACCATCTATAGTCGTAACATCATCTCATGTTACTACATCGTCTCCGCTTCATTTACCTGATTACTCAATAGACTTGTCTGAAAAAGAAATTGTGGTTGATAACAATTCTCAGGAAGCTAACAAGTTGCTCAATAGTGCAATTGCAAGTCACAATTTATCTTTAAATCCGATGGAAGTTAAATTAGCTAATAATGATGAATTTGATGGTTTGTATTTTGAATTTAGAATATTTGCTTTTTGAATTAAATCATAATAGATTCTAAATTATTTCATAATTGTTTTTATTATTTATATTCCAATGCATAAATAATACTATTGTTGACATTTATAGGAATGGAAATTTTGTTTGTTAATAACATTGATGCACCATCAGAACATCCTGATGGTGGTATTTGTATTAACATGAATATAACAAATGCATCTCAAATTAGTGTAGAATTAAGCAACATTCCTTTTGATATTAAATATATGAACCAAAATTATTGGTAAAACTTTCTCAACAAGTTTCTCGAATGATAGAAATACGCTTTCATTTAATGGATGTTTACTGCCACCAAATACTAGAGAGGAATTAGATGCAATGACTAATGCATTTTCAAAATTTTTAACTGGTGAAGAATTACACCTTATCTTTGACGCAGAAGCTTCTTCAGTTTCTTTATCAAATAGAATCTTATTAAAAGTGATGATTGCAAAGGAAACAAAAATTATGAATTTATTGAGCGTGCATGGAATTTTAAGTTTGATCCGAATGAACAATATTTGCCAAAACTATCTTTACATTATGAAATAACATATTCTAATTTATTTCCACTAGGAGTTTATAAATTTTCTTGTAAAATTGTCTTAATTTATAACGAATACCGTTCGCAACACTTAACATTCCATACACAACAATTTCAGATTCTTTTGGAATAATGGAATCAAGCTTTACAACAAAACCTAAAATATTTTCAGAAGATTCTAAATATTTATTTGGTGAAATTGCAAAAAAATTATTTACGGCAGAAGATGTCGTTTTAACTGTAAAAGGAGAGTTAAATGTAATAGCAAAAACTCCAGTTGGCAACATTGAATTGAAAAATATTTCATTTAATTTTGATAAAAATTTCAAGTTTTGTCAAATTCAACCAGAAATGATAGTAAACTCTATAGAAATTATCGAAGCAACAAGGGATACATCGGAATTAGAGGAGTAGCTACCATGACTAATCTATCAAATGTTGAAATTGATTTTAATGGTAATGTCGAATTTGATCTAATATCTGATCAAAATATTAATATTGCAAAAATGACAATAGAGAACTTTAAATTAAAACGTGGAAATGAAGATATGAATGTCAAAATAAACTATTTACCAGACAATGATCATGGATACAAACTTATAGAGAATTATTTGAATAGAAGATCTAGTCTATTACTCGTTAAAGCAACTAATGAAACAACATCAACATATCCATTACAGAAATTTTTGAAGCTTTAGAGTTTAAAACTTTGCTTCCAGGAATAAAAGCTCTATTGATTGATGAAATAGAGGTTTCTTTACGTACTAAAGATTCATTTATGCTTCATAACCCACTTAAAACTAAATTATATTTATTTGGTTTTAATTCTAAAGTGATCAATATGTTTAATAAACAAATCGCAACTGGCATAACAGAGCCTAGTGTTGATGGAATTGTTATTGAATCAGGACTAAGTAGAAAAATTCGAATAGAAAACACGAATATGGATGTAGGGAATGCAATTAGAAATATTAAAGATTGTGTTAATGGCGTTAAAGAAAGTATAGAATGCGTTCTAATGTTTGGTATTGGTGAAAATCAAGATAATCTTTTTAGAATTAATTTGAATTATGGTAAGTATTTTATAATAATTTTAATTTTTGTAATTTCTTTTATAATTTTATATTGATTTCATTTGTTTATTTAGCACAACAAGACATTAACGTTATTTGGGATCTTGGATTTTTTAAGTTTTAATATTTACTATATTTTAAATCTTATATACGTAAATAATACTTTTTATTGTAAATCTACGTTATAAATTTAAAATTATAATAATTTTTTTAGTAACTAACTAGACGTTTGAGTTGCCTAAAGGAGTTAGAGATGAGTGTTGTGTATTTAATTGTATCGATATATTATATATGAGTGCCGCCAAAAGAAAACCAACCTGACTTCGGTTTTTTTGCATAAAAACGTATCGGACATCTGTGTGATAAAGATTTTTCTAGCCACTACTTTAATAAAAACGTAACACATATCTCATTTTAATCTCATTTATGCTTCATTTTTATGGACTATATCCAATACGTTTTTATGCAAAAAAACCCAAGTCAGGTTTTCTTTTGGCGTCGTCCATATGTAATGCAAACCGTAATTTCAGACAAACATTTTTGTATCTATATTTAAATTAACGGATCTTGAATGAATGAATAAGCTTTTCATACTGAATAAGATAGCTGTGCGATGTTGTCATGCAAAATGAGAAATAAAGTATTGTATTTAGTAAATGTATGTGTTGTTGCGCTATTAGTCAATAAAATTAAACCTACCTAGTTCTATATAAAATCGAATTGCAATTTTTTTAAATTATAAATAGCTGCTCAACATAGCTTAGCAAATAAGAAATTGGGAAATATGCTGCATGTAAGATTTAAAAGTGAACTTGAAATTAGGTTATGTCAACCTTAATGATACAGATATAATGTCATAAACTTGTCACAATTGTAATGGGTTATAATAATTTATGTATAATGATCAGATAATTTCTAGACTATAATGGGTAAAAGGACTGATTTAAGCTAAGGTTATTAGAAGTTATAAGTCATTTCCATATAACTGTAAAACCTATAAAAAATAATCCACAAAGTTCTATTGGTTTCTCATTTTTGTTTGAGAGAATTTTCACCAAAAGTAGGTAATTTAGCTTATCTCTTTTAAAAGATTGATATTTTAATTACCAAAATGACTAATATTGTTTAATACCTATAATATGTTTATGTAAGTAAATAGGAGATTATAAATACATTTATATAGTTTGATAGTAAACAATATTTCAGATTAACGGTATTTAGTTTCTTTTCAATTTTTCTACTCTGAATATTAAATAATAAATATTTTGATTTTTTTCTAATTTTAAGTAAAGATATCTTAACAATATTTAATTAATTTTGATAAAATTTTTTAAAAAATTTGAACTTTATAAATTTATAAATTTCAATAAAAAATTATATTAAATTTGATTAGATAGTTATCAAAATATATTTACTCAAAGTTTAAAAAAGTAATTTTTATTGAGAGTATGAATACTAACCCTTTAATTAATTAAAAATAATACAATTCAGTACTATAATAATTCAAGTTAGTAAATATTAACTGCCTTAGTCAACTAAGTTAATTAATTATTTAAAATATTAATATATATTACACAAACTTTATGTATATAAATTATTTAATAATGAGTAAATATAAAATCATTTGAAAATTTATTTGAATGAATTATTAAAAATCAAATCAAACAGTAAAGATGAATAATGATAAGATATAAAAACCAATAAATTATGATGATCAAGAAAAATAATACAATTGTATAGAAAGTTATCATATGATAAGTAGATATAAACAATCTCTCTTAGACTTAAATAAATCATTAAAGACTGAACCAAATAATGCAAAAAAATATTAAAAGTTGTTGAGAAACTTATCAAATAACGAAAAAACATGAAGAACCACTTGCAAATTTAAGCAAATCATTAGCTAATAAGAACAACTGTAAGTGTTTATTTGCTATGCTGCATATGATAATAGTCTACTAAGTCGACTAAGTTCAATTAAAATTATCGACTCAACTATGCTTATAAAAATTTTATTGACTACAAATACTACTGTGAGTACCAATTAAATAATTAACAGATAATTGATCAAGCTTATAACCAGATAATTAGAATATAATTTGATTCAGTTATTTTTCAGTTAAGATATCGAATATCAATATCAATCAATGAACGTTCTTCGCTTGATCATTGATTATCAATTCATCAGACCGGCAAAAAATCCGACATAAAAAAGATTAATATATTATACATAGCAAACCGACATATAAATATAGATAGAGACGGTCATAAAAATGAAAAAATGCTTTATTTCAATCATCTCGATAATTTACTCGTACTGACTTTTGACCCTAGCTAACAATTGACGTTAATATTTATAAGAGGAAAGCACTTGGTTTCACCGAAAGATCTATTTTTAGAATGTTTTAAATAAATTTGGTAAATGGAATGTAATCATGTAAAATCCAAGATAAAATGTATCGCCATCTAGTATACCGACAAAATTATATTATAGAATGAGGGTGACTAGAAATGTTTTCGTCTAAGGACTTTATTAAAAATAAACTTTTGATTGCTGTTTAGTTTGAATAGGTACAAGTTCTTTAGCAACAAAATTCGGCCGAATATTGGCTTTCATCTATTCTTCTAGTATGTTTGGATTAGTTAATCGTAAATTAAAGCTTTGATTCGGCTTATTAGTACTAAATATCATGAATTCATGCACTGCTAAAATCAAGAATCTGCCCACTGTTGAAATCACTAACCCCTCACTAATAAAATTAGGAATTTAACTATTACAAATCCATCCGTTAATGAAATCATAAATCCGCTTACTACTAAAATCATGAACCAAATCACATTCATCTGAAGTTGCATTTGACTAAAATTAATCTCTGAAATTAGATTTATCAGTTGGTAATTCTAGGCAAGCAGGCACGAAATCCGATTATATATTATGTAATTATAATGGCATGACAATTAAAAATATCGTAATAGAAAATTTTTAACGTTTAATGATATAAACATGCGAATAATTCAATTTAATTGATCGTAATGGAGTGCGATAATTATGAGCGCATCATAAATATTTAATTAGATGCTGTACACTCTTCCAGAGAACGATACATTATATATACTCATTTCTACAAGTGCAATTACATATTATGAGATAAGGGAAAGTGTACTATTTACAAAGAATGTAGTAATGCGATAATGTAAAAATAATGTAATCGATTACCGAAAATGAAGTAATAACTTCGACATAATAATGTAGTAATGATCTACATAACGATGACAAAATTAAGCATATGAAAAATTTTCCCGTGACACTGGTAAAGTAATTATATGAATTAAGAGATATCACATAAACATATCGGTTTTCATTTTGTGATCTAAAGTAAATTTGGAATCGATCGACATCTTTTTTCTTTCGAATCAGCCCGATGATAAATCTAATGAAAAAATGAAAATTTGTAAAATTACGTCGGATCATCAATTATGTGTCTGGAATTTTATTTCACTATCGTTTATAATTGCGAAACTATTTTGATTTTTTTGTGCTGTAAATAGTAAGCTATAGAAAGCGTAAGAATTTCTCTTTTTACAACATCTGAATAATGAATGATGTAATCTTTTGTCTTGAACTCCCAAAAGGGTTAATCTTTTTTTAGTTTGACTTTAGTCTAACATGTGAATAATGCACGTATGCCCCTTGGATTGTGAACGAATCGCATATATATGTTACGTAATTGCAGATTCATGAAAAAAACTGGAAACTGTTAAATTTATCACCATTTATTTCATAAATTACTTGACACCGTCATCCAGAGAGGGGTTATTCAGCACATTGCAAAAAAATTCCCAACTCCGTTTTATTATAAGGATGTTACACTACTGGCACTCGTACGTACGAACAGATATTAATTTCAAAAGCACTGTACACTTTTGATACGACAATATAAATCACACAATAATTTTTAATCAACAATGTAACTATTTGATGCATAAAAATGTAACTTTTGTGTCACCGTGACTAAATAAGTGACCCGCAAAGCTCTGCGTTTCATAACAGATTTTTCTTTGTTTCAAAATGTCAAATTATTTAGCTGAAGAACGTTTGGAAGCAATCGTTAATTTATCAGATGAAACTATCCAAACAATTGACAGTATTAACCGATTAAGTTTAAAAGATAATAACTCTTCTAACGAAATTGTTAAAGAATTATATGATAAATATAATGAAAAATGTTTAACATGTGAAGATTT